GTTAAATAAAATTAATAAAAGTTAATAAAATCTAGTTGCATGGTGTGAATGAAAAATTGACGTTAACAATAATTTTATTTAAAGTAAATAAATAATAATAAAATAAATTAGTCACACCAAATTAGATGTTTTTCATTGTCAAGTTATTAAAATTTAGAAAAAATTTTAGTTTTTCATTTGCTACTTTTTGACATCACAATAATGACACCTTGCAACTAGATTTTATTAACTTTTATTATTTTTTTTTACTTTGATCATTTTTTTAAACAATAAATTCCAGTAAAAGTGAAAGATATTGCACATGGCTGTACCAAAAAAAACTAGTACCTTCCACATTATGAAAAAAAAATGGGTTTTAATTTAAAATTAGAAAATTGATAATAACCCAAGATATACTAAGACATTTAGAAAAATTCTAAAGTTGTCACTTTATACTAAATTAAAAACCATTTAATTCAGTTTTTTATTTTTTGAAATCGGACCATAAAAAAAAATTCTATAGCGGTTGCAGTTTTTCAAAAAACACCCTGTATTTTACAAATTCAAAAAAGTAGCCAAATCCAAAAAACAATATTTATTCAAAAAAAAATCACGCAAGACTGGGTTTTGGGGTACTTGTCACTGGACTTAGACCAATTTCCAAAAACAACAACACAAATTCCTCCTCCTCATCCTCAAAACCTCCAAAATTATGAACAATTTTTTCAGTTAACGCATCCACATCTGAGAATTTCATCATGACGGCACTCCCTCCCTCCTCAATCCTATTCCCGTTCAAATCCCTGTTGTAGGGATCAAACATGTAGTAAAAACCTGATTTGAGACACAAAGTCACCACCCAATCACAATAAACAAACAGGAAACACTCCAACGATAAGAAAACACTTTCGAGTGATTTGACCACATTGAATTTACTCAATTTCGACACCACAATGGGTTTATGGACTTTCAATTTGATTATTCTATTGCCACACTCAAAAGTCCTCAACACCTCAAAAATACTCAATCTTTTCTCGGGGAGTTTGTACGCGACGATTGAGTCAATATGGAGTTGTTTGCCGAGTTGGAGGACCATTTCGATGTGGTACCAAGACCACGAGTCCAAATCTGGACTCGTGAGGAAGTACGTGAAGGCTATATAATTAACCGAGAGGTCACTATTGGGGTACAGGGGGCGCACCCCTCTAACTATACTCTCCCGACTATTAATTTGGTACATTTCCATACGAGCCAACATCGTTAAACTCTTCTGACGACTCCTCAAAACTCGTTCGTGAATCTACAAGTCCAAAAATAAAACCCTAAAAATCCTAGTTTGGACTTACCGCTCGTTCAAGTGTTTGGTTCTGGAGGACTTTATCGGCCCATTTTGGACACGTGACTGGCTTCAAAGTTTTCATTTCTAATCTACAAGTCCGTTTTTTTGGACTTCGAACCGTTTTCGTAATCATTTCAATTGGCACAAACAGGAAGATGAGTGGTACCTCTTCACTTGACAAACACGCAATCACATGATCTGACCCGATTTTGGTACTATGAAAACGCAAAACACAAGCGGTACCACCATGAGTGGGAAGTCCAGTGGCACCACGTGAATTCGGGTCAAACATATAGAAGAATTCATCGTCACATTGCTTCCACACTGCCAGTTTGAATCTTTGGACTAGGAGGACTCCTCGAGTGTAACGCTCGAAAAATTTCTCGAAACCTTGTCTCAGATTCAAAATATCGGAATTTTTAACATCGACTTTGCCCCAAATACGCTCATCTGAAGGTATAGTCCAATTGATTTTGACAATACCGATTTGGAAGTCATTATTGGTATCAGAAAGTTCAAGGATATCCCTCCAAGGATCAAATTTATCACCAAGACGTTCCAAAGTCTCAAAATATAACTCTTCCCCATATTTCAAAATCTCATCAATTATTAATTTGGTCCAAGTCAAGGGGTGTCTAATTTTGCCCAAAGCTAACGCAACCACCCCAATGGTCGCACTATGATTGTGCACCCCTCGTGAGAAATTCTCACATTTGTGTTTCACCCCTCCTCGCAAAATACACTTACCCAACATAATCGAAGTAAACCCACCCAAATTCCGAACTCCTTCAACTGGTTCTAAGGGAGGGAAGCCTTTGGGACACTCCCCTGTAACCTCAAATGTCATACCATGAATAACAAAGAAGTGTTCCCCAATTTTGGGCAAGTTTTTCAAATAAAGCGAGGCTAAATCTTCCAAGTTTGTAAATCGGGTAATACAGGAAACCCCCATTGGTGATTTGACACCACTAGGACCACATGGGTGTGAATCAAACATGTAGAAATAATCCTCAATTTGCCAAACAGCAACTGTGTAAGTGTTACACTGCAAAAGACCGAATTGTTTCTTGTCGAAAAAGTCCCCAAGACCGGTTTCAAGGTTAAAAACATCGGGGTTTTGGGATGTTGTATCGCCGGTGGTAACGCCAAGTTCCACTCCCCAACGAATTGCAATTCGATAGATGCAGATTTTGACCGGGTAATGGACAACATCAAATGAGGTATTCGAAATAATCTCGTTGATTTCCTCATCGCCCAAATGCAACTCTTTGAATTGTTGTTTCCTCAAACGTTTCAAAACTGTTAATAGTCGGTCCCCGTAGTCCAAAATATTGTCAATCAAATCAGGTTCAAACCATTTCATGTTGTACAAATTGACAAAAGCTAGAGACATCATCGACATTGGTATTTCTTGATTCCCCCGATTTGATTCGGGGTACAAACGATCAAACATTGAACGACTACCTCGCATAATCCAACGTCCACGATCAATTTCGGTAAAATTGTACCAATCGATGATCATTTCATCGATTTCTTCCTCCTCAGAATCGACAACTTCGTGTCTAAAGGGAGTATTAGTCGTGGTGACTGATTTTAGTTCAAATTCAGTACTTTGTCGCTTATTTGGTGGGATATTTTCCACTAAATGCGTGACAAGATCCTCAAAACGGCCAAACCTCAAAACACATGCCTTCCCCGACTGTTCCTCCTGAATCCTCCAATAGAGAGAGTCCTTTTTCTCGACTGGAGGAGGAAATACATCCTCACCTTCATCCATTTGTGCCAATTCCTCAATATTCTCAGTTGGTTCCTCCACAATTTGAACCTCAACGCTTTCTTCGGGTTGTTGCTCAACATTTGCTTCCTCAATTGTGACCTCAGTTGTCACCGACTGTTGATCAGTTGTCACAGACGCCTCAATTTCCTCAATTTTGGCACTCCAACCATCTTTACCAAACACTTGTCCTCTCTCGTCTCTTGGTTGAGGATCAAAAAGATAGTACGTGTTGTCATCACGCCACAAAGCAACTGTCATCAATGGTGATTCTAAAACCGCCTCAAAAACCTCCAAAGTCCCCAAATCGTCTCTTAAATTCTCCTCAAAATTCCCCATCAAATGTTCCCCAAACTCAAACTCGAAAAAATTACTCCCCACCACGATTTGTTTCTGGACTGTTGTCGTATTGATTTCGTCACATGGGACATTTTCCACGTAGTTGGCAGCCATGGAAAAAGAATAAAGTCGATCACCGAAATTCAAAATCTGGTCCACATCCTCCTTTCGCCAAAATTCAGACGGTATAAGCATGTTCATGGCCAAAGCGGCCAAACAATTCGGAACTGTTTGTTTCCCAATGTTCAAAAAGCCGAATTTTTGGTGTTTTTGACTGAAATTCGACCGAAGAATTGTCGTAAAATCGTTCAATTCGTCGTAGTTGTTCCGCGAAGGCTTGACAAAACCCTCATCGGTGATTTCGACAATTTTGACATCAATTCGACTGATGTTAAATAAATTCAAATGATCGGCTTTCAAATTCGATAGAAAAATTTGAGTCAAATCTTTTATATTTAAAGTCCGAAGGACACAAGCCGTTCCAAAGGGGCACGACAAGCCTTCTTTGTCACGACTGTGTGAGTCAAAGTAGAAATAGGCGTCGCCTTCACGCCATATAGCCATTGATTGGTCATTAGAAGTCACAGTTCCACCATCAGAATTTTGAAAAAATTCAGTTAAACCTTGTTGGAGGGTCAAAATCCCGGGTGTTTTTGAATTGACAACACCGTAGACTAGACAATCGTCGATTTCAAACATAAAACGTCTATTTTCAATATCGTAACTCTTGTAAATTTCAGCAATCATTAAATGTGGGTGTCGGAATTGATCATTTTGTCTCAAATTTTCGACACAAATTTGGTAGAATTTGTCTCCATGTTCCACAATGGTATCAACAGTGTCAGAATTCCATTCCTCGACTTTGATCCAACTCCGGAAGGCTAAAGCCAAAGCCGCCATAGCACCACATTGCGAATTCCGGGATTCTTCCAAAAATCTTCGGTCTTTTTGACTAAAAGTACCTCTCAGGATCCATTTTTGTGGTGCCAGTGCTTTGAACGCAAACCAATCATCTGAGGTGTCTTCAACATCGTCAACCTCAACTTTATAAAGACAAAAATACGCATTGTGTTGTTTTTGTGACAAGTTTGCTAAAATTTTGGCCAAAAACTCACTAAAATGTGAGAAATACAAAACACAAGCTTTGCCATTTTGATCCTTGACTAGAGTACCAAACTCGTCGCATTCATTCGGTTCAAACATGTAGAATTTGCCATCTTCGTGCCAAAGTGCAAGTTTTTTCGTGTTAATTGCCAAAAAGGCGCAATCGTTGTCGAGAAAATGATTTGAGAGAGCTTCACCCAAACTGAGAATATTTGGTTCAGATGAAACAACAGAACCAAGCACTGAATGGTCCAAAACCGGTCGGTATTTCTTATTCTCGATGATGAAATTGTGTGGTCGATCGTCAATAGTGGGGAAATTTGACCATTCAGTGTGAAACAACTCTCCGAGTTTCAAAATTTGGTTGAGAATGTCGCGATTCCAAAATTTCGATTTGTGTAGGCGTAACATGCAAAGGGCGGCTAAAGCATTCGAGGAGTCTTGGTATTTGGTGAATTTGGGGTCGTTTTGGTGGGTTGAAGCACGAAGAATCCCAGAAACACCCTCAATTAACTCTGAAATTGTGAAATCAGGGGGAGAAATCAAATTTGGGAACTAAACCTTGATACTTGGTTGTGGGTTCCAGGTGGGGTTTTTGAGGAGGGATTGAGCTTTCTGGTGGTACTTTCCTCACAATCTCTTCCGCTGGTGCAATTTCTTCTATTGGAGGTTCGATTTGGACCACCTGTGGTTCCCCAAACTGCTCCAAGGCTTTCTTCACCGGACCCTCAACTTTTTTCCCTTGAACCTCAAGAGTTTCCGGCGGTTTGGTGTTAATCTTGACGGTTTTCTCGACTTTGCAAGGGTAAATCGTCAAGGTGTTTGAGTATTTTAACGGGAGGATGACTTGGATCATTGCGACCAATAAGGGGATTTGGGGTAGTCGCAACAGGATGCAGACCCCGAGACCTGGGGGTCCTGACCACCGATTGGCCTCTTGGTCGTACTCAGTTGAGTCAAACAGGAAGAAAAAGTCCCCAAATTGCCAAAATGTCAAATACTGGTGGTGGTACACCAAAATTCCAAATTGGTGATTTTTCTCAAAAAAAGTCTCAAAATGTTTGACTAAATTCTGGGCAATGTTGGAGTCGTTCAATATTTTGAAGCGTTGGTACGTTTCGTCGACTTTCATGCTGACTTGGGTGCTCCCCAGGTAGAAATATTTGTGTATGTGGGGGGGCAATAGATGGTCCTTGCATCTCTGGCCTTCCATTTGGCGACTTTTCAGGTAGAGGGCATCTCCAGTTGCGAGGATCTTGTCTAGAGTTTCCCTTTTCCAAGACCTCATGTTTTTCAAATGGGCGAAAGCACAAGCCACGACCCCGATTGCTGCCCCTTGTTGGTTGTGACCTTTGAACTTTTTGTGGGCTTGGGAGACGGTGCCGGTGAGGAGCATCACCTCCAGACCTAACTTTTTCCACTCGTTTGACAGCGAATTTTCTTTCTTACTTTCCACATTCTGATTCTGATTTTCCATAACAAGAATTTTTGACACTAGTGATTTTGGAAATTTTTGACTGTTACTTGGTAACTCAAATTGTCAATTTCGGGGGATTTCTCATCGATTTTTTCGCATTTCTCCTCAATTTTGATCTTCTCTTCCTCTGTTTCCTTTTTCTTTGCTTTAGGACTCTTCTTCAGTTATGATTTTTCCCAATTCTTTTCAATTTTGGCATCAGCTTGGTTTCTTGCTCAGAACTATCTTCAAAGTTTTCTTAAATTTTCTCAATTTCAGTTTCAACTTTTGGCTTGTTCTCATTCTCTAGTTTCTACCCAAATTTTTACATTTCTGGACAAATTATAGCTTCAAGACACAATTAAGAGCTAGAAACTTCAAATTTGGTATGTAAGTTAGTTGTAGCAGGGGGACGCAGCACGAAACATTTGGTAAAAATCGGTCGCACTGTTCTAATGTTTTTAGTTTCTTCTGTAATTTTCTTAGCATTAACTAATAATAATTCATGCTCAGTGCTACATAATTATATTAATAATAATTAAGGAACTTTTGCGTTATTTTTTGTTTTTATTTGTAATTTGATCAATATATTTTTTTCCCTTAGTTGTTTGTTCTTCTTCATTTTCCTCCCTTTTCAAATTCGTTTTAACTTCCGTCAACGATCCTCCCCAAAATTTAGACCTTTTTTAACTTTTCTTATTAGTTTTAAATAAAGAAAAAACAAATCATTTTTTTCAAAATCTTTATTGGGTTACTAATTACAAAACTACTTATTCACACGTTGCACACTCACAATTCCGGCCACAATCAGCCCGAAATGGCCCACTGGCCCCTCCTCCGGCCCCAAATTCCTCAAAATCTTCTCAACCAACCCTTCCAAACTCCCGTAACGCATCAAAACGGCACTTCCTCCCTCACACTTATTCCCATTCAAGTCCCTCGAATACGGATCAAACATAAAGTAATAACCCGACTTGAAAAACAACGAAATTAGAAACTCCTCATAATTGAGAAAGAAGAAATTAGTCGAAGTGAAGAAATGCGATACTTGAGCCATGACATTCTTCTTTATAAACGGCCCACAATCCACTGGAAGTCTAATATCAATCTTGACCTCCAATTCTCGCAACAAAACACGTCGGAGGATATGCGGTAGCAAAAGTTTGCTTGTAGGCGGCTTGTAAGCATTGTAAGAATCGACGTAAAGCTGGTAACCGGTTTCTATCACAACTTCCATCTGCTTGTAAGTCCATTTACTCAAATCGGTTGCGATTTTCATCAAAACTAAAGCAGCAACGTTGACTGGTAAGTCACGGTCGGCTTGTACGGCCCTTGTAGCTCGAATTATAGCAACGTCGTTGTTAATTTGGTACATTTCGTTTCTTCCAAGAGTGTAGCAACGTTTCGCTTCGGCTTTTCTGCGTTCTTCTTCAGCCTAAATACCCCAAATGTTACGCAAAATTGCTAAAAATGAACCAAAATACTTACAGCAAGTCGCACCTCTCTCTGCATCTGCTGAAGAGTCTCTTTGGTAGGGCAAACCGGTCTTGTAATCGTTGGCTTTGACTCTTTTTGACTCTTGGTAGGCCTTGTCTCCCTTTGTACCTTTTGAAGAGGTGTAATAGTTGGCTTTGACTCTTTTTGACTCTTAGTAGGTCTTGACTCCCTTTGAAGAGGTGTTTGATGTTCTTGGAGAGTCTTTTTACTGGGACAAATCCCCACTTTTCTCCTAGTTTTAGCACTGCCAACTATGATTTCAACCGGAATGATTGCAAACTCAGTTCTGGTCTTGTCAATGTCCATCATACAGGCCTTGATATGATCCGAGGCCAATTTGGAGTTGCAAAACTTCATAATACAGGCACTCCCGCCTTGACTGGGTAATCCAGTGGCTCCACGGGAGTTTGGATCAAACATAAATATATTAACTTCATCACCTTTCATTTGTTCCCACACTGGAAGTACAAACTTGTCGGCTACTAAAATCCCATGAGAGTTTTCCTCAAAGAATCGTTCCAAACCTTGTCGTAGATTTGGAGTTTTGGTGTTTTTGACATCGACAATTCCTTTTTGTTCGGTGAATCTTAGGGCACAATTAACTTTTAGTCTTCCGATAGAAAAATCGGTTTTGACTTGTCGGACACCAAGTCTGTCCTTCCATGGATCAAATTTCCCCTCGAGTCGATCAATAGAATCATTATGGAGCTCTTCACCAACTGTTAGAATTTCCCTAATTATGATTTTCGTCCAAGTTTCTGGATCTTTGCTAAGAGAGAGTGCCAAAGCAACAAATGCAATTGCAGCGCTGTTTATGTGAACCCCCCGGTCAAATTTCGTACAATCGAGCTTAACATCACCTCGAAGGATACTTTTACCGGCCATAACCGGGTTAAAACCACCGATTTTGGTTACTTTTTCTACTTTTTCCTCCGGATGACGCTCCCTCACACATTTATCGTGACTGAAACTGAAGGAGTGAATTTCAAAGAAGTTGTTGCCGTATTTTGGCAAATTTTTCATGTAAATTTTGGCCAAATCCTCCAAATTGATAAAACGCGTAATACACGAGACACCTACTGGTGTTTTGAGGCCAGAAGGACCGTTCGCGTGCGGGTCAAACATGTAGAAGACTTCATCGGACTTCCAAACCCCAACAGGGTAGTCTTTACATGTCAAAATCCCGAATTGGTGCTCCTCGAAGAAGGTTTGAAGCCCAGTTGTGACATTTGGGACACCTTCAGTTTCCTTTGAGGTAATATCACCGACGATGACCTCAAAACTCCCCTCCCAAATTGCCAACTTTTCCCCCATGCAAATCCTCTTGGGATAATCACGCAATTCAAATTTCGTGTCTTTGAGGATTTGCTCAATTTCATCGTCACTCAATTCAAGACTCTCTTTCAATTCCTTGATCCTCAATTTTCGCACAACTGTGTATAACCGGTCCCCGTAACTCAAAATACCATCGACGACGTCTTGAGTGAATTTCTCTAAAGCAAAAAGACTGGCAAATGCAAGAGATACAAGACACATAGGAAGGGATTGTTTTCCACGATTGACAATAGGGAATAGACCATCCCTGAAATTACGGACACTCCTCAAAATCCATTTGCCATGATCAAATTCCTTAAACTCGTTCCAGTCCCCTGCAATTTCATCAGGTTTATCCTCAATTTCCGGATCAAAAATCTCATGAACGATTGGAGTATTTGCGATTTTGACACCTTTGAGGGTGAATTCAAGCTCGGTTCGTTTGTTTGGAGGAGAATTATCAAGCAAGTGTTGGACTAAATCCTCAATTCGGCTAAACCTCAAAACACAAGCCTTGCCTTCTTGTTCTTTTGTCCTCCAAAATTGGGAACCCTTTTTTTCAACCGGTGAAACGTCATCTTCTCCCTCTTCCTCATCTTCTTCTTCGTCTTCATCTTCGTCATTGTCATTTTCAGGTTCCCCCAAATTGTCACCACCGCCCATTTCGTCTTTTTCCCCTTCGTCATCTTTCTTCTCCTCTTCAGTTTCACCATCATCTATTATAATTTTAGCACTCCATTCATCCTTACCATAGATTTGACCCCTTTCATCTCGTGGTTTTGAATCAAACAAGTAGATTAGATTGTCGTCACGCCAAATCGAAACTGTCATCATTGGCGACTCTAAAATCGACTGGAAGGCTTCGTTTCCTTCCTCACTAACTCTCAAACTCAAATGTTCAAAGGCTTCCTTCAAATTGTCCTCAAAATTGCCCGAGGACACATCCTCCAACTCAAAAGTGAGCAAATTAGACCCGATTTGGACCTCCTTTTTGACATTATCTGACGTTACATCGTCACCCTCTCCTTCTATAATCTCCCCACTGTACATATCCTCCATAGTTGTGGTGTAAAGTTTGTCCCCAAAAGTCAAAACTTGGTCGACATCTTCCTTAGTCCAGTCAAAAGATGGTGTCAAAGTGTTGAAAGCCAAAGCTGCGAGACACATCGGAACGGTTTGTTTGCCAGAATTGATGGCAAATTTCTTGTCCCTTTCGGAGTTATTTGATCTCAAAATTGCGATAAACTCATTGACCATTTCATAGTAGTTCAATGGGGGTTTGACTACACCATCCTCAGTCATGTCAATTAATTTGACAACTACTCGACTTATATTAAAGAAATTTTGCTTATCAGCCCCCAAATTCGTCATGAGGGCATTTGTCAAGTCTTCAATTGTCAATAATCGCAAAATACAAGCAGTACCAAACCCACATACTACTCCCTTGTCGTTTCGTGAGTGTGAATCATAGTAATAGTAGGTACCATCACGTTTCCACACTGCCATTGACTGGAGATTAGCAGTGACAATCCCTCCATCACTGTCAGTAAAAAACTGTTCAAATCCTCTCCGAAGATTCGGAATTCCGGTGTCACTTTTCGCATTGACAATCCCATTGACAAGACAATCGTCAATTTCCAAATTGACTTTCTTGTTTTCGACGTCAAAATCCCGTTTCACTTCATCGACCATCAAATACTTGTGTTTAAATCGCCCAGTTTCTTGCAAATAATTGACACAACTTTGATAAAATTCATCACCACTGATCAAAACTTGATCAACTGTATTATCATCCCATTCTTTCTCTTCTTTCAATTCTTTGTATGTCAATGCCATGGTCGCGTTAGCCGTGCATTGGGCGTTACGTGACTCCGGTGGGAATCTCCGGTCTTGTTGACTGAAATTCCCCCGGAGGATCCACTTGTTGTACTTCAAAGCCTTGAAGTTGTACCAGTTTTCAGGGATTTGGACATAATCCTTGATTTTGACTTTGCAGATCATGAAACGGTCCTTGAGGGTACTTTTGGGGACATTGCTCAAGTATAATGACACTAAATCGGAGGGTTTGTTGAACCAAGTGACACAAGCGACCCCCGGGGGGTCCCCTGGTTTGATTGAAGTACCATTAGGGTTCCTCTCGTCGGGATCAAACATATAATAGCGACCATTTTCGCGCCAAAGGGCCACAATGTTGGGTCCTATAAGTATACAACAGTCTGTATCTATTAAAACATTGGTCACGGCCTGTTCCAAATTGAAGATTTTGTCGTCATCGGAGGTCAAACGGCCTACACATCCATATTTTTCTATTTTAGGACTGTATTCCTTGTCGTTTAAAATAATTTTTTCAATGAAATCGCCTTTGGGTAAAGATTTGGACTCGTGATGGATCACCTCTCCGAGTTTCAAAATGTCGTCCAAAATCTTCCGAATCCATTGTTTGGACTTGTATTGTCTTAGCATAGTCAAGGCAGCCATTGCATTGCCTAGTGCTTGAGTACCATTATTTCTGGTAAAACGAGGGTCACGTTGATGGGTCGATGCACGCAAAATACCAATGGTACCAACTGGTAGTTTGGTGAAATGTGTCAAACTTGCTAGTTTTGGGCGTTCGGGTGGGATACGCGACTTGGAGACTGATTTTTTGGGTTCAAGTTCAACTTTGGGTTCTTCAAGCTTGGGTTCTGGGACTTTTATGTGTCGAGGGGCCTTAAGCCGGGATTTTGGTGCCTCTGGTGGTACCGGTGTCTGGCCCTTGACCGTCTCAGGCGGCGTGGTGTTAATCTGGATCACTTTTTCCAAAATGCAAGGGTGGATTATGAACTTGTTGATTTGTTTGAGAGGACAGTTTTTGATAATGATGTCGGCTAGGTGTTTGGTACTTGGTACCCGGATGCAATAGCAGTACCCAAGGCCCGGTAAACCGTCCCATTTGCCGCCCAGATGGTTGTGTTCGGTCGAGTCAAAAATGAAAAAGTGTTTCCCGTATTTCCAAATGGCGAAATACGTGTGTTGGCACCCGAAAATACCAGATACGTTGGTGGTGAAAAATCGGTTGAGCATGGATTCGACTTTTTGGATCATGGTTGAGTCTCTTGGGACTCTTTCACTAGTAGGGTTGATACCAACCCTAATTGAAAGTTTGTTGTTACCCAAATAAAAATATTTGTAGATTTTGGGGGGTTCCAAATGATCTAAACATCGATTTTCGGAAATTTGACGACTTTTCAAATGAAGATTGGTACCAGTTTCCAGGATTTCATCGACGACTTCTCTGGTCCAAATATTCATGGGTTTGAAGCTCGAAAAGGCACATGCAACAATACAAGTAGCTGCACTTTGTTGGTTGTGCCCTTTGAACCTCTTATGGGCTTGGCTGTAGGACCCGGGGCAAATCATGACTTGTTTTTCCAGCTCTTTCCAGTCTTTTGTAAGCGCTGACGATGGCACTTTGGGTGTAGTAGCCCCTTTTTGGGTTTTTCTTTGCATTTTTTCCACAAAAAATTTTGACGAACTTTGACTTACCGAAAAATTTTTGATTGATTGAATTTTGACAGTCAAAATTTCAGTTATGGATAAATCGTAGTAAGATTTTTCCCAACTATTTGCCCCTAATTGAGTTTTCCAGGCCTGGTAAAAGTCGAGCCCAGTCCCGGACTACGGGAGCAACCTATTTTGACCCCGACCCCGTCTTGGAGCAAAGTCAGAGAGACCAAAAAAGCCTCAAACCTAAACCTAAAATCGGACCTTCGGACGACTCAGATATCAGACTTCAGCCATCACTAACGTAAGAAACCTAATCAGGAATCGTAATTCCAGGTTGGGTTTCAGGACACGAGTCGATCTTTTGACCCATGATACAAGCGTACCACCTGGTACTAAATACAAACCGCCCAAAACACGAAAACAAAGACGAGCAGATCGGGAAAGACGCGAAAGGTACGTCCAGGACCTAAGATTTTGTAGTTATGACGTGACCCAAATGCCAAGTCCGACGAAAATAACAAAAGTTGATGTCAAGGTACTGAAAATCCTCTCGAAGGGTGGGTTTTAATCAAAGGGTTCCAGTTAAAGGCACCTTCAGCTGAAATCAAAGAAGCTAAAGTTTTTCCACGTAAACCGTCAGTTTCCCCGAGTGATATACACCCTGAGGTGCCACCACCAGCCGAGTTGGCGGAACGCCAACCCAAAAGTGGTACCATCATCAATGTGAAACACCCAAGACCCAAGAGACGCAAAAAGAAACCTAAACCATCACCAGAACCATTCGATACTCCCCAAGGACCAACAATTGAAGAACTCATAGCGCAAGAATTGGCCACCATTCAGGAAATCGAAGGGGAAGAGGGTACCAAAGTGGAACCTCCACTTGAGAACTACCTGACTAGACAATTCCGGCGTAAAGTGTCACAAATGTCTAAAACCACTTCAATTCAAAGCAAAGACTGGCAAATCGAGGAGGGTGAAGATCAAGTGGTACCACAAGAAGACCGATTTGTAAACACACTAGTGCAGAAATTTCGTCGCGAATCAGAAATCAAACGTTATGAAAGACCTCGTCGCCAAATCAAACCAGGAACATTCGAAAACTTTTCCTTCACAAAATTGAGACAACCAACTTTGAAAACGTTCTATTACGGGGTGAAACTCGGTACTGTCCATCAAGGAGACTTCCATTTCACCCCTTTGAGTCGTAACAAACAAGGGATTTGTATGCCAATAGCAGCTTATTGTTTTTCAATCTTGAAACATCCAGATAAATGGACACAAGCCGATATTGATGATGTGTTAGAAGCCGGAAATGAGTTATTTTTAGAAAGTGCTGATACTCAACATTTACATGGCGAGAATGTGGAGTTGAAAATCACCGATTTGCGAAAGTATTGCAAGTTGGGGAAACGAAAAGTCCGGTTTGTGGTCAGTGAACCGGAAATTTCCGGCATGATCCGGTCAGATGACAAGAAAATCTACAATTTGACCAAGGCGATTAATATATTTTTTTCGCGCTACTCCGCAGGGATTCTACAAACTGAAAATCTAACTATTGCACTTTGGAAGGACAAACACTACTATTTTTTTGATGCTAGTGCTAGAACTATTGATTTGTTTTCACACCCTAATGGTGTAGCCCTTATGGCAAATTTTTACGACACTGCGTCTATAATAACAGTGCTTTTGAACCGGTCAAATCTCGAGAATGTCCCTTTTATTATTTATTCAATTAATGCCTATAAAGTGTTACTCCGTGATGCTGAAGAAGTTGACTCGACTGGTGTTATCCCTGAAAGTGATAATTTTCAAGTCTTGGATGAGGATAAAGCTGTTGCTTTGGGTTCGTTTGATTTGGCCGATAAGTGTTTTGGGTTTTCGCGTAACAAACAAGCCCTTACTATAGCACTAGTAGCACTAGTTTACTCAAAAATCTCCCCTCCTAGTTCCTGGCATAAAGGAACAGTTGATAAGATTGTGATAATCGGAAATCAGTTGTTTTTGGAATGTATCGAAAACGACTCAATTGAGGAGGTAAAAATTGAGGATTTACCGGCTGTAATGACAATTGGGCCGTACCTAGTCGAAGTCTATATAGTCCCAAACCTTTTTGTTGATTTTCTCTTCAAAAAAAGTAAATGTGTTTTGTTGGAACGTTTGGAGAAGTTTTTCGAGAGTGCCTCCAATGCCATCATCCAGATTGACAATTGTGCCTTAGCTGTCTGGAAACAGCGAAATATTTACCATTGTTTTGACCCCTATTCCAGAAATAATGAGGGTTTGAAGTGTCGCGAAGGCACAGCTTGTGTGTCAATGCACACAACTTTGGATTCTTTAATCAAAACAATTTCTACGAATTTTGACCACAAAGATATGATTTTTCACATCCATGCGATGAAAGTGTGTAAGATTCATCGCGATCCTGGTACTAGAGACCTCTTCCCCCAATGTTTAACCATGAACGAGTACCCAATCGAAAATTTCAAAAAAATTAAAATGCGAAAAGGCAAAAGAAAAGCTATTAAATCAGTAACAGTTGATCATACAACTCGAGCTACATTTCTTGGTGAAATCCCGGAAGAATCAATTTTGGAAGTTGGTTCCAACATTAGGAGTATTGCACTTGAGGATTTACCCCCAATGGTTCATAAAGTACCATCAAGACCACTCCCTAAGGTCACACCACCGGATCAAGAGTTTGTGGCTGATTTAGACTCGCCGAGTCTTTCTGATACTCAAATTGAACCACCGCCCCCAGAGGAACCCGAAGGAGAACCTTCGATCGAATTTGTTGATCTTGATGGTTTTGACTTGACCCAGGAAGAGAAAGAAATGGTTGAGAGAGGTGAAGGTGGTGAAAAAGGTAAAGGTAAGAAAAGTCGCCGGTCCGAAGCGGAAGAAATAGCCGAGGAGATGGGTGGTGGGGGTGAAGGTGAGACAGCTGAAGGGGCCCAAGAATGGTACATGGCCGCCTCGGAGTTTACCCAAATCGGGTCACAGTCATTTGTTAGTCGAATGTCACAAGAGGTCAATACTGAACTGTTTCCGATTGAAGTACCACAAGAGGAAGTACCAGTTTTGGTACGTGATATTAGGGCTTTGACCACAAGACGTCGCATGGATATGCAAGCAATGTACGAGTTTGAAATGACACAGGAACCAGAAGTGACACTTGCGGAAGAGTTGGCGAAAGAGACGAATTTTGTCAATTTACCAGATGGTAGTCAGATTATCCTTGGTGGTACTAATATGGCCGCGTTTGGGTCAGAATTGGAGTTTATGGCACCGTTTGTGTGTATTATGGCCTCGGCTGTGGCCAAAAAGTACTCAATTGATTCGTGGTCAAAAGATGTCGTCGATTATGTCCTCAAATGTGGTTCTGAATTGCACCAAAACTCTAATACGCGCTATGACCAGAATTTTAAACTTGAAATTCCGAGGATTAGTTTGGGAAAAACTGATTTTAGTATTAGAGTTAATTATATTTTTGATACTTATATGAAACCACGTGTACTAGCTATGGCCATCCATAATATGCTTTTCCCTCAATGGAATTCCGGGATTGTGGTCACTCCAACCTATTCCTGTGCCCTTTTCTACAAAAATCATCTATATTATCTCTATGACGGTTTTGGTAATAATGAAGTTGGTTTGAGTAAAGGTGTTTCAAATGAAGGAGTTGCGTGTCTTGCACGTTTCATTAATATTGACTCTTTGGTCGCAAGGATTATCCACAATAAGGCAAAAAGGGAACAAGATGAAAACATAGAATACAATAGGTTTGTTTTAAGTTCGTGTCATGTCAAGCAATTACCACGAGAAGAAATCGAAGAAGAGGAAATTGTGGAAGAGGCAGAAGGAGCAGATCAAGATGACATAGTCGTGCAAAGCTACAAAAAGCCGAAAAAAGTGGAAGAGAAGAAACCAGTCAGAATGGGGTACCACTTGGTCGAGAAACTGTACAAAATTGAAGGTACCAAAAGTCTTGGTGGTGGTGGTACCGTGTCTGAAACCCTCAAAGAAGACTATTTCGTCTGTCTCGCCGCCTGTCTCCTCCTCCTCAATCTAGCAATCAAACGATGGGATGATCGCAAAATCGATATGGTACTCGACCAAGGGATCAATATCTTCAACCATGTGGAAGACCATGATGTGTGTTCGAAGAAATTTATCAAAAATATTTGTATCGATGATTATATTTTCGATATTATTGCTAATCGGGTCAAATTTGCAACTTACTCATCCAGACGGACTTTTCGATCAGGTGAGTGATTTAAATTTGGGTACTTTTTTGAGTTAGTTTTCCAGGTATTGAAACAATGGTGAATAAAAAACACGAACATTTTATTTTGCAATTTCCTGATCGGTGTTACGCATTGAGTGTCCAAGACAAGATTTATCACTTGTTTGATCCTAATGATGGGAAAGCCTCCTGGACAAGATATAGCAATTTTGCGAAGTTGATCAAACGAATCAGAAAGAATTTAACAAAAGGTGGGGAGAGTTACAATTTCCATTCTTTTGAAATTATGACGATTAATAAGGCCCCGAAGAGTGTTATTGTGAGTAACAGAGTGAAGAAATATAAGATTCCGAAGGGGAAAAAGCCGGAAATTGTGGGTAAACCATTCTATGAGGATATTTCTTGGTTGGAAGTTGACCCAATTCCGTGGTCTTGGCGTTTCAATAAGGGTGATTTACCAAGATGGAACCAATGGTGGTTTGTGGATTTCCCCGACGATTTGTATTCGTTATTTGGGAATTTGAGTCCGTTAGATGAGAGGTTCCCTCAGGAATTCCCCAAAAAACAAACCCTCGGGAATTTAGTCGCCGCAATTGGGATGATTCACATCTACGATTTGGCGGATTGGAATGGAAATATTATAGATTCGATTTTGATTTTCGGCGATAATTACTTTCAAGAGTGTATTAAAGACATCAAAGATGAGAATTACGAAGTCACTTTTGAGGATTTGAAGAAAGAGTGCTCGATTTTCCCTTATAGTTTCCAAGTGAGGTTTACTCCAGTCGTCGAAGGGACACTTTTCCTTGTCCGTTTGAAACAATTCAATTTGTTTAAAGCCTTGAGGGCGTTTTTCGACGATTATATCAAAAGGTTTGGGATTATTTGCGTGTCGAAAGGTGACAATGACAAGAGATTTTACGCTTTTGGGAAAGTGCAAGATTCGGAGTATTTTTTGTACGATTGTGAGACTTTAGGGCCTCCGATGTACATCGAGAGGGATGCAGGAGTGCCCTATATTTTGCGAACCACCACTTTTAACAGACTTTTGCATGTTATGACGCTGACTTTGAGAGGTGGGGATTTTTATATCTTCGAAGTGGCATTATCCGAATTTAAAGCAATTGCTTGAACATTCTGTGTTGTTTGGTGTAAGAAATAAAGCGCTTTCGATTTTAAAATTGTTTTTTTTTTGAAGAGATTTTTTTAAACATTCGAAATTCCTCATTTTGAATTTGCTTTTTTTGTCATATTCCTACAGATTATGAAA